TTTATTTATTTGTATTTTAGGGAAGGATCTACAGGGTTTTCAGTGTCTTACTACTAGATCAGACTCTTAGTGACTAGATCCACCTGTTTAGAGCCTCCCAAGAGCTGGGATTACAGGGGTGTGTGCCACCACGCCCAGACTCAATTGCTATCTCAGCATGCCCTGGGGGCAGGACCAGCACAGCAGGCCCAGGGATCCAAACCTCAGCCCCTGCATATTTCATATTCCTTAATTCCCAAAGTCTTATCTTCCCATTTATGAGTATCTCATATTAATTTACTGTATTGTTTCCTGGATTAATATTCTGAGTATCAGCAAATTCATTTGATTCTTTAACTTTATTTTCAAGTTAAATATACACAAGAACCTGTATTATGCTATGCTAAACAAAGAAAACAAAAATTGGGCTATTGTGTCATATTTTCACAACAGGATGCCCCATCCAAAGAATTTTATGAAAGATTACATTCAGAGGAAAATCTCTGTTTACAGTTAGGAGCTAAATGAATTATATAGGCGCAGGGGCTTGCATCCTGCTGGTGACACATTCCCACATATTAAAATCACATCTGGAAACTTGAAGGGAAGCTTTTGTAATGTAAAAGTGATCAAATGCTGTGCAGAGTTTGAGGTACTAAGGGGAGGGAAGAGCGTGGGAAGGAACCTGGATTAGCACAGCCCGGCAGGCTGCAGCCTCCCACCCACAGTCCTGCCTGCATTGGAGGAGAAGCATGCTGGCCAGGAAGAATGAACTACAGCGTAGCTGCTCCATCTCACTACAGTTTGGAGGCCAGGGGGCTCTGCCTGCACGTTCTGTAAATATCAGAAATGTGGAAGCCATTAGATCGGTTAATGGTCAGCTGGTCAGAAATGAGGATCAGCAAAAATATCGTCGCCGTGATTTTTTTAACCTAATGATGCTGCCCTTATGGTATTAGATATACTTAAGCATAATGTTTATATTAACTTTTCTATTTTTCTCTAGCTATTGCTTCTCGGCCTTTTGGTTAAGATCAAGTATATTTTTCTCTAGCTAAGAATAGTAGACAAAATTGTCATAAGTGAATGAGGCATTTATTATGAAACATTTTGCAAAACACTGAGCTTCAGTTTTTTAAATTTATTTTGTAATGAAAATGGTCTAAGTTTAACAAGTCCCTCGTTTCCAAGTTGATAAAATATGCAAATGTTTGACAAAGCAAAACCTCTGGGAATTGTCTAGTCATTAATTTCACGCTCTAAAATGAGGAGTTCCATAAGACTGGCACAGATCTTTTATCAGACAAATGTCTTGTTGCAATAGCATCTAGCCTTTTATTTCTACTTTGCTTTTTTTAAACAGTACCATTTCCTCTCTTACTCTGTTGTCCTATGATCATTTGACCCACAGGTGGTTCTGTGAGGGCAAAGAGCTACACAACACTCCTGACATCCAGATCTTCTGTGAGGGCGGGGACCTGCACACCCTGATCATAGCAGAGGCCTTTGAGGAGGATACAGGCCGCTACACCTGTCTGGCTACAAACCCCAGTGGCTCAGACACCACCTCCGCCGAGGTGTTCATTGAAGGTAAGAAGGAATCTCCAGGACAAGAGCACCAGCAGCCCTGTACCCCAACAACCATCCTAAGGGGCACTGAGAGTATGGTTTTCCAAAGAAAATAGCATGATAGTATTGGGACCCAAGCCTCATTTCTCCTGCAAAACTGAATAAATCATTTAAACTAGCTATTCCTCTACTGGGAATTTTCCCAGAGGATCTGAAAAC